AAAAAACTTTCACGGTTTTGCAAATCTTTTTATCATTTTTTATTTATCCTTATGATGAAACAAAAACGAATTGATTGATCACAACCAATGGTAAAGTTCTACTAATTGATATTTATTTCCATTGATACGCAAGAGAAAATAGTAGCTACATCAAAAATATTTGAAGCAACCACCATTAAGTATTTGTATTCTAAATACAGATAACAAAAACATGTTTTTCAACTATCATAGACATTTAAGAATTACAAAATATTTGCAAAGTGTTTTACGCTTTTAGCTGAGAATGATAGTAAACTAAAACTTGAATGCATGTGTGATAAAGAATATTTGATTGGACATAATAACTAGGATTTAGAATTGAAGGTAATGTTAAAGAAAGAGAGATACATATTATAATAAATGGAAATTGGAAAATCATTATCAAACGTCAATACAGACTTTATTATAAAGAGCAAAACATACATGCAGAACAAATGATAAATTTCTTGGCTCTTGTTTCTTCTGCTACAATTAGTCATTATTGTTACAATATTTTTGACAAATAGCAAATTCCTTTTAACTGTCTGAAACAAAATATTTGAAGGATTAAGAATTTTCTAATACTATAAAGTTGCATTCGTCTATTTAGCTTTTTAAACTTTCTTTACTTTGGCAATTCTGTCAAAATTGCTAATAAATTTCATTTAATTCAGAGCTTATATAATTATGTGAGTCGAACTTCTCTATACGACTGACAGATGTTGTAGACACAATATCATGTATGGCTTAACAGCCTTCCTTTCTGTAAATAGACCGCATATAGTTACCGCATAAAGTCCAGGGAGTCTGTTAAACACTGAGCAACAGACTTATTTGCACTCAATTTTGCTGGCTTAGTTAAGGAATATGTTTTTCCCATTCATCTGGTGAATTGAGTTAACATGAGCAAATTTGAAATTAACTCATTTTCAATTTTTTCTCAGCTGCTCTTGGTGAATTTCATGTTTGGCTTTAATTCCTTATAGTGGACATTGAAATGTATTATTTCTTTCTATGCTTTCAACTCCTAGAAAACTTACATCTATTTATTCAAAACACGTTCTAGGCGGGTGAACTCTACTTATATGAATTGTTGTAAACATGTGTCTTAATAATGAACAATTTGTTTAATCTATTGCAACAATATTAAATCATCATAAATTATCTGAAAGCAAACGTGAAAATACTTTTTGGAGAAGGAAGTTAAAATGTTACATAATTATAGAAATCAATACATGAATTATACATCCAAAAAAAGTTTAAGAACAAATGATTACATGATTATATTGATGATAAGCCTTTCATAAATTAAGTAAATGTTTTACTACGAAAGCTTTGAAGGAATTAGTAATCGTCCACCTTCTAATAACTAGAAAATAAAGATGATATCAAGCTCAACAAAAGCGTTTCTTGGGACTCTCGTAATCCTGTCTATTAGTGGCCAAATAGCATATGGTAATGACGACATATCAATCTGCAAGAAACGCTTAGAGACAATAAAAGACAACGTCAAAGAATGGATGGAAACTTGCGTTGATAAAAATGGCAATGACGATAACACAACTGCATGCAAGGAAGTAAAACAATACAACAAAGAAATGATGCAAATGCAAACAGAAATGTGTTTTTACAAAGGTATATTCTTTAGATTTGACAAATTTTCATAGTTTTCTTGTTCATAGCAATAAAGACAATATGCAACAATAATAGGTAGAAGTTATGCAGCCAATCTAGTTTCAGTTATTAGTAATTATTCTATAGTGAAAAATTCTTTCTAAAAACACTTATTCTGGTCTTTCACCAAATATTATGATTCTAAAGTCTATAAAAATTTGCATTTTTTTTAATCCACTCGCATCGTTGTTATTTATAGTTTTTTTATTTTTCTTTAGATGTTTATCCAAAGCCATATTTGATTATTATGAGCTTTGATAAAATATACTCTGTTGATTCTATTACTGGAGATATTCATGTCAGCACTATTAATGGATCCAGTAAGAATAAATTTGACCATGCATCAAAATATAATGACATTGAAATTGATGTAGTTGAGAATTTGCTTTACTACATTGATGACAAAGACATCAAACGGGGAAATTTTGACTTAACTAGAAACGAAATTTTTGCGAAAAATGTATTTGTTCGTGATATTACAGTTGACTGGATTGGTCGTCGTATCTTTTACATTGACTTCACGAACAATATCTACCAAATTTTTTTGGAAAAGAAAATTACAAGTGCTATGAGGCTTCAACCAGGCTTGCAATTTTCCAGCATTGCATTTGACTCAAAACATGGGTAAGGCGATATTGAAATTCTTTTTGTTAACTTGTAAACGTAAGGTAAGAGTTTTTATTTTTAGAGACGGTATTTTAATTTAATAGTAAAGTTGAATTTTTGAAGTCCGTAGTATGGCCTGTTATTTAAAAGTACAAGAATAGAAAAAAATTTTGATTTTCGAGGGAAAACAAAACTCCCTTTTTCCCGAGGGAGCGAATATTAAGTATTCTTTGTGTATAAAGAAACAAACGTCATATACTTTGACAGCTTTTCAATAAAATCAACGAGATTTGGCCAGCAATATATTATTGCGCGTCTATGAGGCATTTCAAACCGACTGCAAGGATGAGCTGAGAGCGTGCAATTATTCAGCACACGTGCAGTAGAAAATAACATGTATATCCTGAAATTGCAAAAATCGACAGCGATATTTATGTTAAGCAAGCAAAGAGCTTTGACAAAAATGTAACAACGGAGAAAATAATGTTTATAATTGATGAAGTCGTTAAATGAAATAAGACAGAGAGATAGAAACTAAAATAAAATATTAAATAATTACTTTACAGATGAAACTTTAGTCAAATGCTCACAGAACATTGGTTTGCCACAACCTAGATATGCCCTACAGAAAAGATTTCAACAGATTGGGAGCATTGTTTGTTGTTATGCTGTTCCCTTTCATTTACTTTAATCCTTTTTGAGGCAGTGTAAGAGATGTGCAACAATGTCAATACGAAATAGCAATAAATTTTTAAAAAATTCACGAAGGTGGTGAGCGTAAAAAACTTCAACATTTCGTTTTTTATTTAAGATAAAAAAACTGCACACATTCCCACGTAGTTACATCAAAAATATAAAAAAGTATTTTAGTTTTCAAAAAATGTGGCAATTTTAAAAAAAATCAGTATATCAAGTTTATAGTTTTTCAAGCCTTCTTTTAACTTGCATGAATGGCGGAGTATATTGAAAAATCAAGAGCTGCAAATTAACTGTATGCACACTACCCTTAAATAAATCCACTCACACATCCAGTCAAATAACCGGAACGGTAAATAATTTCACTACCTTTAATTCATGCAGTGTTCTTAGTGTAACTTAGGCAAACGTTAGATCTGTAGTCGCTCAACTGATGATGAATCTGAATATAATAATCATGTTAGAGATCAAAAAGAAATTGGCTGAAAAGCCTTATGAAGCGAGAACTTTCTGAAAAGGTTATAAATAATTTACGAATTTAAAAAAATTTCCTCTTCTATCGATTCCTATGAACTCTCCATTCATTAGAGCATTCTAATCAATAAATACAAGTCTTCACTCATTGTTCAAGAAATTTCCATTCCACTAAACCTCTCTTAGCGTCAGTATATTTTACTTCCCAACTTCTTTATCATGTATTCCATTTGACACCACCTCCTTAAGTCGTAATTTAACACCTTTTCTAAATACAATATCTTGTCTTAACATCTCATTATAAATTATTACTTGCCTGAATATGTCTTGAGTAAGGACGAAACGTCAGTATTAATTTCATTTTACATCTTTTGGTCTATTTCTATGGCTCTAATTAAAACTTTATGTTGATCATTAATTTTTATCATATTACAAGAAAAAATTAATTTTCACGAACACAAAAAACCAAAAAAACGATAGTATATATGAAAAAGTTTTTAAAGAGTTCGGGGCAAGGTGCAGTGAATGACAAGAACACATGGACTTTACTGTTACTCAAATGCGTAATATATTTAAGAAATGTATTTGAGAATGCAAATATGCAGCGATGATAATCAAAACTGCCACTTGCATCAAACATTTTCGATAAAGTAAAGGCCATAATGTTTAAGCAGTTTTTGTAGCTAATCCAATCCGGAGATTCTTAAAAACACGAACATGACATGGCGATGAAATCATCATTTTCAAATGATACCAATAGCGCTAGCTCCAGTATTATTCTATTTCTGATTCTTCAGAAAAAAAATGAAAAAATTTGACAATTAAAAATAGAAGGTTAATATAGTTGTAAAAAGTCGTTTGTCCAACAAACTGAAAAAAAATATCAACGAAAGACAATGTTTGTGAAGCTATAGCTCTTCTAAAGACATTTGTAGGACATCCAAGGAGCTGCTATTTTTCATGCATGACAAAACTGAAAAATTAAAAGGCTTAAAATTGAAATGACAAAGCTTTCTTAATTTTATATCTACATTAAATGGTGCATATCAATTACCAACATTAACTTTTCAATTCGAATAAAATTTCCACGTATCAGACAATTTTCAGCATTATCAATTACCATCACAATTCATTCAACAGCTACTACAAACTACAACATTACTCATTCCCACAGTAATCACAAACAATACCAATCATTATAGAAGTTATGTGAATAAAAATAACATATTACATTTATTATTATGCTCTGAATCACATGCAATGTTTAATTACTTCATATATTTTATTCGGATTTTAAAAGAGAGATTTCGAATAATAAAGGTGATCTTTTCCTGTTTGTTACAATAGCTTTATGTTGCTATATTATCAAATTTTATGAAGGTAGTTCTGAATACTTTGACAACATCTTTGTCTAAACTAAAAAAACATTCTATCTTTCCTTTCTGGCATATATTAGCCTGCTAATTGTTTATGTATTTCAGTACGTATAGAGAAAACTAATGTACAAAACAAATATTTTTATTAAGGTACCTATTCTTGGCAGAAAGTACAGAAGTTTTCTTATGGTTATGGAGCATGACTGCAAATAAACATCATATTCTTTCAGTTTCACTTCAGTCAATAGCATATGATCTAACGCTTGACATTGCTAAAGAGAAGATTTATTGGCGTGTTTCAAACGGAACTATTTTTTCTTATGTTTACTACTCCCAAAATGTAATTGGTTTTGGAACTTCACGAGGTCCCATGGCAGTATTTGGGGATTTCATTTATATCATGACTAGTGTTGGTCGAAGTGCCGTTAGTGTCCATAACACAACAGAGCAACGTACGAGACGTAAATATTTTCTTCCTGTAAACAACGCTTATCTTGATTTGGCTGTAGCAATACCCAGTATCACTCATGACGCCAAAGGTAGGTACATATTTACCTATTTGACATAATAATCTAAGACTTGCAAAGACTCCCACGCTAATGTTCATAAATAGAAAGACGTTAAAAAGTTCAAAGTTACATTGCCTTAGTAAACGGCTGTTCTTCCTTTCAAAATTATAGAAAATTTGATGAACATTAACTTCAAAGTGCAAAGTGTCTAATTTGGACATTTTTGCCGTTTTTCTATTCTTGTCAAACTTCTTGGGTGTTAAATTAAAGTCTTTTTTGTTTCTTATATCATTTAAACAATCACTTGGGCTTGAAATCAGTCTTAAATAAAAAAAAATCATGAAAATAGATTGAAAGACAAAAATGTCCAAATTGAGCATGTTGTGCAGTGAGCCTAATGTTTATTACATTTCTTAAAATTTCAGTTATTGCAAAACAGAGTTTAAACTTTTACATCTTTGGATTAAACTAGATTTGAAACTTTTCATTTTCTTTGTGCATGTTGTTCAAATTGAGGCGATTACGAAGTACTCTCATGGTTTTCGAGATTAATATTTTTTCATTTTACTTTAAATAAACAAGGCAAAGCCATGCCAAAATACATGAGCTTTGACACATTTTGTGTGAACTACTGATGAATTGATAATTTTCTGAACATTTTTCCAATTATCTAACTTCTTTAGTATATCATTTTTAATGTCCCAAACAGCCAGCAAATTTGTTCATACTTTGTAAATTTTCAACATTTATTTAATTTATTTGTTTTTACGAAATGCGCGAACACCAAAAATACCAACATTGCATAACAAACTTGCTTGATGGGTACGTCAACGTGGATACTCAGTGACAAATTGTTTTTCTTTGAGGAAGAATATGTTTCGTTTAAAATCCCTGGTTGATTTTATTTTTAATTTTATTGATCGATATAGCGACAAGCACATTTCACTTTCCTTTGTGTGGACCCAAAACATACTATCGTAAGATTAATGGAACATTGAACTGCACGTGTATGGAAGGATACTCAGGAGAATGTAACTCGTGCCAAGGTATGGATTTATTACTGTTCTTATCAAGATTTTTATCACCGATCATGAATAAAGAGCATCTCTGTGCAGTTTTAAAACTTTGCTCTTTGTTGAGAATCCTGAGCTGTTCTCTGTGCTGTTGCTTCTGTGCAAGGAATTTGCTGCATCTACATTTTACATGTAAGCACAAAAATAAGGCTCACAGCCACACATACAAGTTCATCATTATCAATACAATCAAGCAAGAAATCAGTAATAAATTTATGAAAAGCTTCAATACACTTAAAACTTTATCAGCAAACAACATTGAAAGTGTATGGTTCTCTAAATGACAATGGCTTATGTTAGCATTAACACATTTTGATTTTCTCTACATTAAGGAGGGGGTAGGGTTAGGGTTAGGGTAAGGGTTAAGGTTAGGTTTAACACTCCTCCTGCAGTTAGTAATCTAGCTATGGCCCTGCTAACCTAGATACACTATATTAGACAGTCTTGAGTTTATTATTGGTTGGCTTTCGTAAACTAAGATTTCTGTAAATCCAATCTTTAAAAAGCATTTTGACAGACATGCTTCCAGACCTCCTAGAATGAGTGCATCTCAATATTATTACATTAAATGTCTTTAAGGAATGGAATTGTAGCTTTATGAACTTATTCCAAGTACAAACAAATATGGCCGTTGTCCGATTACTAAGTAGGCTATGTAGGCTGAAGCTTACATGGCTGCGTTTTAAAATGTCCTGTTCTCTTTAAACATAGTTTTTACTCTTTGCCATTCTATATGAGATAAATGTTCAAAATTTTTTCAATATATCCTGTTGGAAAATGTACGATACACTATTATAATGCCTATGTATAGAACTCATAAAGTAGTAAGTTTATCTCGTTCGAAATTTAAATTTGTTCTATAATGCTTACACTACGAGTAACAAAACTGAAGCAAAGGCAAAGGAGCATAAGAAACTTAAACGTCCTTAAAAGACTGAAATTTTTGGGAGAAAGTTATATCACTTAAAGTCCCACAAATTTTTCTAAGCCTACCGGCCGCGCAATTAGTCATCCGCCACTTAGTATGGGTGCATGCCCTGATAATTGTTAATTTTCGATGAAAGAAAACTAGGTTTTACTGTTAAGCATTCACTTCCTTTAAAAACCTAAATATGCAATATTTTTAAGAGGTACAATAAATAAGTTCAAAAAATGTATGCCAATAATGTGTTATAACGTTTTTCAGTAATTGGCATTTAATTCACTGGGTTTACTAATTTTCAAATGACTTTCTTACTATTCAATTTAACGCTATTAGAGTTAGACTGGAATTTTTTATTCAGACATAAAAAAATTTCATGTTAGCACAAATTACAATGAAATTGAGTTCAATCTGGAAATATAGGAATGCTATTTGAAATGGGCGTAAAAATGAGCTATATTTGACAGCTTACCTCAAGTTCATGCACATTTTTGGTGTTATGATTTCTTGATTTTAGTATTTCTTTCTCGATTACAATATTATGGAATGAATTAGTTTTTAGTCTAAAACAGACAGTTGATTATGCACAATATAAATACATAACAAATCCACATCAACACTTAACGATTATTATAACCATGCATTTAAACACGAAGGTTTTCCCTTATGATAAAAATGTCAAGTGTTAGCCGGACTACATAAGCTTCACAATCAATTTCTTTTATTTCTTTTACAATTTCTATACAATTTTTTTAAGAATTGTATTCTATTATACTTTACTCTGCAACTTGTAGCTACTCTACAAAACCAGCTCAAAGACCCTCCTCATTCCTTAAAAACCCTTTAGGTATTGAAAGACTTGTTTTAAACAACATCTGTCTGCAAAACACAATCCTGCCTGTTTAAGCATTTTTAATCAGCTTTTACAGTTTAAAAATGCAAATTAAATATTCTATTCTATTCGTACAAATCATTCTGAAAACAGTTACTAGTTATTGTTGTCTTATTTATTTTTTCATTCATCTAGCAAGCTGTCCTTCTGATTGGTTGCATATAGAATCATCTTGTTATTTCTTCAGTGCAAAAACAGCAACATGGGATAAAGCAAGAAAACTTTGTCAACAGAAGGGAGGAAATCTTGCTGTTCCAAAGAATAATGCTGAGAATAATGCCATTTCCAGAATTATCTCAAGAAAACCCCTCAAAAGTCATTTTATTGGTTTGTATCGCAATAAAAGCGACAATCAATTCTACACAGTTCAAAATGTAAAGCCCACTTTCGCATTATGGTATCTTCGAGAACCTAATAATGTTGGTGGTGTAGAGGACTGTGTTGTAATTGATGACTTATATTATAAATCCAATTGGAATGTTGTTCGATGTGTAAAGCACTTAAAATTCATCTGTCAACGCGAGAGACGTAATTTAAACTGTGAGTAGCTTCTAAAATTTTTAATACATCAGATATTTTACATATATTTGTTATTTTGTGGTAAAATGGGTGCATTCTTTAGTTATTGTTTTCCTGCCAAAAAAGTGTTAGAACTAGAGAACTCATTCGACCATGTAGCAGATTGTTGAGCACTAAAAGCGAATTTTGACCTTTTTGTGCAACTAAGAGTGATTCAACCAATGGCCCAAGGTGAAATGTTAATGGCTCAAAGACAAATAATTCTCTTATCGCCAAAAATAGTTTAACATATTCAGCTAATATTAATGTGGTACCAAATTTAGCCAATCTGAAAAATTGCAAGTATATCTTGGTTCATACTTAAAGATGTCAATTCAATAAAGAACTAGTATGCAGGGAATGGTCACTTAAATATCAAAAATAATTGAGAGTTATGTTTAGTAATAGGTTTTCCCGAGTAAATGTGTTAAAAACGGAACCTTAGATGAAGCTTCCCCGAACTTATATAAATTCAAAGAGCTGCTTTTAGGCATTAATGAAAATGCCATACCTTCTTAGCCATTTCTATTTACATAACTTCTTTGTACGTCACGCTCTACTGCTGAGCACATTAGGTCTCAAAACATGAATATTCGCACATATATAAATATTCACCCCACCCCACCCCCCACTCCAATCAACGTTCTAGTTTTGGAACTGGGCGTAACCAACCTGCTTGTATTTAGTCTTATTTTGTTGGTTTTTCTGTGTTGATTTACTTAGAAAACAATAAATTTGAAAATGAACAGTGCTTGATGGAACAATAAATAAGGCTTGATTGAATAATATTTTTTAAAATTTTACGCAAGATGCAACGTCTCCAAATACCGCTGCTATTCATACCAAGATATGCATATCAATGACGACATGCTTGGATCAAATATGATTTTTCCACTTCTTGTAAAAAACTTTTTCAAAGGATTTATTGCGGGTAAACCGTCGAGCTTGTTTGATATAGATGATATGCTTTAATTTCATATAATTTTGTTAGTGGATGCATTTTTTTTTGCAAAGATAATCCAACATCTTGGATTAACAGACTCAAAATTTCCGACACTTGCAACGACAGGATAAGATAATTAATATGCCCCTGTTGTGTAACTTTTTCCAAAGCTAATCTCATTGCTTTAAATAGCTAAGTTGTTTTTTGTTTTTTTTTAACGATGAAAATAATCCAAAATAGCAACCGTCTTGGGTACATGTCACACTTCATAATTAATAGTCCTATAAGCTATGTAAGAACTAGGTTTGATTTATATCGTAAATGCTGCCTTATCAAACCCACTACCAAATTTAACTTTCTTTATGTGTGGTTCTGCTTGTAGCCCTTGGTGAGTCATCTTCTATCGTGTACAGTAAATGATCGTTGATTAATGTATTATGTTAATAGACTCATTCTTGTTGTTAAAAATGAAATGTAGTCTGAATGATTTACAAAAATATTTGTCTAAACGAATCTAGAAAGTTGTGTTACAAATAAATTACTAATACATACAGTCCCAAAAATCCCAGATCTCACTATACTCTTATTTGTTACAGAAGTTATTTGACGTTTTAGATGTTGATTTGTTTATATCAAATACATGTATTAAAATTTTAGGACAATTATGTTTTACATTCTCGTAAAATCAATTAAGAAATATTCAAAAGTAATAAATTAAACAAAAAATTTCATATTTATTTATTACACAAATTTATATTAGACATAAAGTAGCTTAATTTATGGTACACATTTTCAAACAACTTTATTGTGAAACATTAGATATCGGCGAATGTCAGTCTTCTCCTTGTGGCAAAGATCACTCATGCATAAATATCCCAGGCTCCTACGAATGCCTATGCTCCACTGGATACAAACTTGACAAATCCAAAAAGATATGTATCAGTAAGTTAGTCTTTCTAGATCTTTTAACTTATATTGCAAGATTACGTGACTTCATGAAAATTCTTTGAAAACTGCTTGAACTATTAAAATATGAGAAATGCTTGACAAGGTCTTGTGTTCAAATGCACATATTATTAGCTAAATCAAGAAGGGCGTTTCTCGAAAGTCTCTGCTGATTAAGTGAATTAACAGCTAAATAGATAACAATTAGTGGTTTATGTTACATTAGAACTGACTTAAGCTTGTTTAAAGTGAGCATTTTATGTGAAACCAACATAAAGGTGGCATTCACTTAATTAGAATTCAATTTATAAGTAAAGACAGTGAAATGTGGTTCTGATTGGTCAATAGCTGTGTTTTCATTAGTCTGTGCAAAACAGATATGAATTCAACCAATCAAATCAATCAAATTGTAAATCGATCATAAATGCATTTTAAGGGTAAAGTTAAAACGTCTGTTTTCAATTTGTCTGTTTCACTTTATTGTTGTTTTATAAAAGAAATAAATGATGTTTTCGTGTTTGCACTGGCTTATGCAAACCTTAGAGACGTTTTCTGAGAATTTTCAATTTCTTTATCAGCTCTCAAGCTCTAACTTTTAAAGGTCTCCTCGCGGACGGAATAAGCCAGTGCAAATACATTAAACAACTTTTATTTCTTAACCAAAGGCCACGTCATTGTTTATAATATTCTTAGGTTGTTGGTTTAAAATATGTTATTTGTCATTTGAGTTAACACATATGGTCAAAAAATTATGTGTAGTGCAAAAGTGGAAGTGCCATTTTTCATGTAACTATTGCTGAAAAGCAGTGGCGTGCGGTGACCGAATTTAATAGGCAAGCGCTGGGGGTGAGGTTCGCGGCATGCCGGGGGCATGCTCCTCCAGAAAATTTTTGGATTTTAAAGGCTACTGGAGCGCATTTCCCGCGATTTCTGGGAGTACTTTGTCGAAAAAATGTATCTGTCATGACTGAAACAGTATTGAAAAAATCTAAAAAATTCAAAAACTTTTATAGAGTATATATCACAATTACGGTTTAAAAGTATTACATGTGGTATTGTGATATAAAGTCGTTTTAAGTAAATGGCTACGCGTGCATTTCTATTGTAGTGAAGAAGTAACAGAACGAAATAGTCCAAAATCCTACAACAGATTTACTTAAATGTAAATTCCATCCGTCTTTCCTTTGCGCAAAACTCCTTTATAACGTTCTCATAGAATCGTGGCTTCCCCTGCAAACTTACCAACATCTCCTTCTCGATTGAAATTGTAGCCAATGCAGAAAGTCGCTCTTGCCCTTGTGTACTGCGAAGATACGTTTTGATACGCTTGAGAGCCGAAAATGATCTTTCTGCAGAGGAGGACGTACTTGGCATAGTAAGAATGAGCTGACACAATCGGTACACCTCTGGAAAACAGGCTTTCAAGTCAAGTTCGATTATTTTTGATATCATATCAAAAAACAGGTTTCGATTTGAGCTCGGCAGATGCGTATACAACGATTAGTTCACTTTTTAGTGCTTGAAGATTAAAGAATGTTCCATATGAATCTTGCAACGATTGCAGCTCTCGTTCGGGAAAATTCCGGCTGTACAATTCGTGCTTTGAATGATCCAACAAAGAAACGAATGCTCTGCTGTTAAGACTTTCGAATCTAGAGTCAATCTGCACGACAATGGTATCGACTACACAGAAAAACATTTGACGGAAGGACGCCTTTACATCCTCTTCCCTTTGCCCGCGTTTCAGTGCTACTTTGACGATACTTGACGTAAAATTCCAATAATCTACGAATTTTGTTCGTTGTTCTTGAATCTTATCTTTCATCTCGCGAACTTTCGTGACACAGAAGACAATATCGAACTGCTTACTCTGAATGATATTATACAAAACATCCGTAAGACCAAATATTTCTGAAAATATTTTAAGGCAGAACACAAACTGGAAATCTGCAAGAACTTGTCGGTAGCCCCTCGCTTCGTTTAACGTCGTACCGTCAAACTTGTCATCATTTTCGATGATGTATTCGAAAACTTCGAGCAGCTTTGCTCTTGTCTCCAGTACAGCATGGATTAACCTGCTCTGATAGTGCCATCGAACAGCTGTTCCAGTGGGAATGCGTCTGCCGACAACTGTGTGCAACAGGTATGTTCTCTTGGACGAGGCGTGAAAAAAGGATGAAAGACCAGTGACGGTTTTAAAAAATATACGACACTCTTTAGTTGACGAGACAGCTTGAACAAGGACCAAATTTAATGCGTGTCCGCAACAGTGGATAAAAAGAGCATGTGGATAGTCTTCTCTTACTCGTGTTTGCAAACCGGTCAGTTCTCCTGACATCACACTCGCACCGTCATACGTTTGGGCAATCAGTTTTTCGCCGCATCCGTACTCGTTCAGGGTTTTACCGACTTCTTGTTTCAGTCTAGCCGCAGTTCTATCCTCACTTAAATCGGTAAATCCAAGAAAGCGCTCCACAGCTTTACCACCTGGGTTGACATAGCGAACTATAGTTGTTAGCTGCGATAAGGTCTTAACGTCGGAGGTTTCATCCAGGGAAATAGCGACAAATGGGCTCCTCATCACTTCATCTTTTATTGCTTTCAACATAACGTCCTTGACAGCAACAATCAAATCGTTCTGGATACGATTAGAAAGTCCAGAAAACACGGTTGCTGTATGAAGATGCTGTTCAAGCGTGGGGTCATATGCACTTAGCAGTTTTATCAATTCGACGTAATTGCCCCTGTTGGCAGACTCCTCCAGCTCCACCCGACCTCTGAAAGAAAGTTCCTGTTTGCCAAGAAAGCAAACAACATCAATGAAACGGCGAAGTACTTCTATTCTTGTGCACCATCAAGTTGTGAGCTGAGATGTGTTGACGGGCCTGTTCGTCTAGCTGCATGTCGATGCGTGTACGCCCAAAACTGGCATTCATTAGGCAACTGGACAAGTGTGTCTTCGTTTTCTCGTGTCTGTTGACGGCATTACACAGGTTGGCCAAATCATCGTATCCCTTCTTGCACCAGACTGTCTTGTCTGTTGAGTTGAACAAAAGACACGGCCAGCAAAATAACTTATTCAATTTTGAGGAGCCAGCCAGCCATTTGTACTTGTCGTAATTTGACGTCTGAAAACTTCGAATAAAGACTTTACCACTTCGCTTGGATGTTGTATGTAGTCCTTGCAACTCAGGAGTGGGACGGCCACCTTCGACGATCTCTCGTTTCTCGGAAAAAGGTCTCAATCCAAATGAGCGGGATATCAGTGATTCCACAATGCATTCAGTCATGTTGTACAGGTGTCGTGAAAATACCGAATTGTAGAAGTAGAACATAAAAGGATGAAAATTCCTATGCTATATATTTTATAGGAAAATCAATCTTATTTATAGCTTACATCAGTTACATGATATCTTGTAGTGACGTACATAACGTGCGTACATTACTCATCTAGATTCATGTATTAGCAATAGAGGAAATAGCCAATCCTACACTTACTCAAACGCGCTACTTAAACTTACGCACTTAACTTTATAATTACGTAAAACTACTCAAATTTCAAGTACATTGTCCGCTGTGTAATAACTGCACCTTGTTTATCAAAATATATAAAAGCCTGTAAATAAATTCTAACATATAGAATACTCACGACTGTTGTAACTTCTTTGCTAGTGAATAAAATAATCACAAAATTTAATAGCGTTCTAGTACATTGAAATCACGTTCAGAGCTCATACGCAAGACTTATATAACGCTAAAGTATAACATGCTACAGATAATATCTTCTACATACATAAATTAGAAATCTACTACTACTTTGAATTAGAAATCAGAACATTACCTTTCGCTCTCAGTCATCTTTTAATAAACGATAACATTAACGGCGTGAATAATTCGGATGTCCAATGTGTTGAATATACGAATATTATTCGTGCACTGATATGTGTTTAAAATTGCGAGCGTACAAGACTGTTGACCAATCGCTATCAAGCGGCGCCCTTAGAAGCGCCGCTTGCCTTTTCTCGATATTCCTCGAATAAGAAGCCTCCAAATCTAGATTAACGCATGCGCAAATGTTCAAATTGAGCTCCGAAGGCAAGCGCGCTTGCCTTGGTTAATAAATAATTAATTTAATCAACTTAATTTAATACACTTGACTCATCTTACAAGTGTAGCAAAGTGAAACCGAAAACCACGACAGTAAATCGCGTATAAATAGCAAGCATTTCAACTGTAAAGACAATTTAGACAAAAGATTACATTGACATTGTTTAGAACAGAAAAATTTAAACTGATTTTGCTCAGAGATTGATCCAAAAAATTTTTGTTCGGTAAAATGCTTAGGCAAGCGGCGCTTGCCTACGCTTGCATGACCGCACGCCACTGCTAAAAAGGCTAATTAATGAGTTTAAATAAAGTTTATCAATCAATCAACAATGACAACAGCAAGCACATAAAAAGAAAGTAGATTAGAGATATAGTAGGTTTAGTATTGAATTTTCAATTGATCTTATTGCAGCATTTTCCCCTGAATTTAAGAACAATTTGTTGTTGTTACATTTCCTTATAACTTTAAAATTTCTGACAAAAATCATTTGTGGGGGAGATCATCTCTGGTCTACTACATCCCTGAGATTTCCGTTTAATATAAAAATCTTTTAGTTTATAAAGTACCATCAAGTAGACAATGAAAATGCTATACCTTCTTAGCCATTCCTATTTACATAACTTCTTTGTCCATCACGCCCTACTGATGCGCACATTAGGTCACAAAACATGAATATTCGCACATATATGAATATTCACCCCCTCACTCCAATCAACGTTCTAGTTTTGGACCTGGGCGTAACCAACCTGCTTGTATTTAGTCTTGTTTTGTTGGTTTTTCTGTGTTGTTTTACTTAAAAAACAATAAATTTGAAAATGAACAGTGCTTGATGGTACTATGAAAACGGCTTGATTGAATAATATTTCTTAAAATTTTATGGCAACATGCAACGTCTCCAAATACCGCTGCTATTCATACCAAGATATGCATATCAATGACGATATGCTTGGATCAAATATGATTTTACCACTTCTTGTAAAAAACTTTTTCAAAGGATTTATTGCGGGTAAACCTTCGAGCTTGTTTGGTATAAATGATATGCTTTAATTTCATATAATTTTGTTAGTCGATGCATTTTTTTTTTGCAAAGGTAATCCAACATCTTGAATTAACAAACTCAAAATTTCCAACACTTGCAACGACAGGATAAGATAATTAATATGCCTCTGTTGTGTTAATTTTTCCAAAGCTAATCTCATTGCTTTAAATGGCTAAGTTGTTTTTCGCTTTTTTTTTAACGATGAAAATAATTCAAAATAGCAACCGTCTTGGGTACATGTCACACTTCATAATTAATAGTCCTATAAGCTATGTAAGAACTAGGTTTGATTTATATCGTAAATGCCGCCTTATCAATCCTACTACCAGATTTAACTTTCTTTATGTGTGGTTCTGCTTGTTGCCCTTAGTGAGTAATCTTCTATCGTGTACAGTAAATGATCGTTGATTAATGTATTATGTTAATAGACTCATTCTTGTTGTTAAAAATCAAACGTAGTCTGAATGATTTACAAAAATATTTGTCTAAACGAATCTAGAAAGTTGTGTTACAAATAAATTACTAATACATACAGTCCCAAAAATCACAGATCTCACTATACTCTTATTTGTTACAGAAGTTATTTGACGTTTTAGATGTTGATTTGTTTATATCAAATACATGTACTAAAATTTAAGGACAATTATGTTTTTACATTCTCGTAAAATCAATTAAGAAATATTCAAAAGTAATAAATTAAACAAAAAATTTCATATTTATTTATTACACAAATTTTTATAGACATAAAGTTGCTTAATTTATGGTACACATTTTTAAACAACTTTATTGTGAACCATTAGATGTCGGCGAATGTCAGTCTTCTCCTTGTGGCAAAGATCACTCATGCATAAATATCCCAGGCTCCTACGAATGCCTATGCTCCACTGGATACGAGCTTGACAAATCCAAAAAGAAATGTGTCGGTTAGTTGGTCTTTCTACATCTTTTAACTTATATTGCAAGCTTTCGCGACTTCATGAAAATTCTTTGAAAACTGCTTGAACTATTAAAATATAAGAAATGCTTGACAAGGTCTTGTGTTCAAATGCACAAATTATTAGCTAACTCAAGAAGGGCGTTTCTCGAAAGTCTCTGCTGATTAAGTGAATTAACAGCTAAATAGATAGCAATTAGTTGTTTATGTTACATTAGAACTGACTTAAGCTTGTTTAAAGTGAGCATTTTATGTGAAACCAACATAAAGTTGGCATTCACTTAATTAGAATTTAATTTATAAGTAAAGACAGTGAAATGTGGTTCTGATTGGTCAATAGCTGTGTTTTCATTAGTCTGTGCAAACAGATATGAATTCAACCAATCAAATCAATCAAATTGCAAATTGATCATAAATGCATTTTAGGGGTAAAGTTAAAACGTTCATTTTCAATTTGTCTGTTTCACTTTATCGTTGCTTTATAAAAGAAATAAATTATGTTTTCGTGTTTGCACTGGCTTATGCAAACCTTAGAGACGTTTTCTGAGAATTTTCAATTTCTTCATCAGCTCTCAAGCTCTAACTTTTAAAGGTCTCCTCGGGGATGGAATAAGCCAGTGCAAATACATTAAACAACTTTTATTTCTTAACTAAAGGCCACGTCATTGTTTATAATATTCTTAGGTTGTTGGTTTAAAATATGTTATTTGTCATTTGAGTTAACACATATGGTCAAAAAATTATGTGTAGTGCAAAAGTGGAAGTGCCATTTTTCATGTAACTATTGCTGAAAAGGCTAATTAATGAGTTTAAATAAAGTTTATCAATCAATCAACAATGACTAAAGCAAGCACATAAAAAGAAAGTAGATTGGAGATATAGTAGGTTTACTATTGTATTTTCAATTGCTCTTATTGCAGCATTTTTCCCTGAATTTAAGAACAATTAGTTGTTGTTACATTTCCTTATAACTTTAAAATTTCTGACAAAAATCATCTGTGGGGGAGATAATCTCTGATCTAGTACATCCCTGAGATTTCCGTTTAATATAAAAATCTTTTAGTTTATCAAGTACCATCAAGTAGGCAATCCGTTTGAAATCAATATAACGGAAACAATATTGTCCAGAGTAATATTAGTTTTGATTATATTAGCTACCCGTCAGTGGAATTTGCAAAAACTTTATAAAGTCTGCCTGACCCTGACATCAAAAAATGTTGGTCAAGTGATTCTAAGAATTTTTTTGTAATAGTAGTCTCAACATTTTTGATGTATACAAGGTGATATGTTTTATATAAGGTACAAATGGTGTATGATATATGATGAATGAGTATTTTTGCGTGAATTTACTGAATTTTGCCCGTATTCTAAAACTTCAATCACACTCATACTCAATGATTGCAACACAGAAATCTCGCTTCTGCCAAGTAATGGCAATTTAATGTTTTCAACAATGGCAAGTTTTTTTTCCAAAATATTTCAAATTATAGCTACGCCATGAAAATTTGCGAGGGGATTTTGAAACTTCATTCTGTGTGTGTGGTTAGGGGTAACACTTTAAAAAGCAGGCATTTGTCTTGCTGTTTATTTCAAGTTATTACAGCTTTTTTGACTTTTTATTATTATAGATACCAACGAATGCAAGTCTTCTCTATGTGGATTTTGTTACTTATGCTATAATACCCCAGGCTCATACTATTGCAGAAGAAATACATGGGTTCCTTCTTGTTGCATGAGATGTACGTGGGATCGTTGTTATTGATCGTTATTCTACACTTCCCCTTGTAAATTTTTATAAATGCTCTATGAAAAATGTTTCACTATCAAAACCTATAAGAGAGATTCCTGCAAAATATAGAAAAAAGACTGAAGCGAAGAATTTAACTAGTCTAGCTGAGAATGTACATGGCTACATCTTATCGGCGAATGAACCATGTTGAAGTTCTAAAGTTCATCGTAAATATTTTTCTTTGCATTTTTTTTTCAAGGGAGCAAAACGTTTGATTGTTATGAATGGTAATGTTGCCAAAAAATACGAAAAGGCAATACAAAGGTGAACTTAGATTTTAGCTTATTATGTTCATGCATGAAATTAAGAACCTCATAGAATTTTTACTAAATTTCACGAAAATGCTTCAATTCATTTTTCCATTTATGCAAAAGAAGGGATATTTTCTGATTTCCTGCAATCTGAGTGGCTGCAGCAGCAGGCGTCATTTTACGATATCTTATATATGATCCAAAAGTGATATTTTTTAGCAATAAGTTGGTTACAAATAAAAATTTAAAGTCTAATATTGATTTAAAAGCGATGTAAATTTTTCAGCGATGAAGCACAGTGTATTCAGATGAAAGTCATCATAGCAAGAGTGAGTTTTGCTGTACTGAAGAAGTAACATTTGTAAAAAAAAATCCAATTTTCTTTTCAATATCAAGCTGTGTCGGCTATTTTACAACACAAATTTCCTTATGAACATAATAGCCCAACATAATACTTTTAAGAAAGCCATCACAATAATCAAATAGAGAAGGATTTATTAATTACGTTTCGTCTTTAACTTAAGACATCTTCAGATTAATTGAATTAATATATATACACGAGGTTTTAAATACCTTAGATACCCAAAGATCTTATTCACACTGCTCCTAAGAAAATCATGTACTTCTGTCTCCCTTTCACTGGCCTACACTGTCTTCAGATTCGCACTCAAATCACTCGACTCTGCAATGCTGCCTTTCCTCATATCAACGTTCGCTTTGTTTTTCGTTCTTCCAGGCGTCTCTCCTCTTTCTTTCCTTTTAAGGATAGGGTTCCCAAGCTCCTGAGATCTGGTGTTGTATACTCATTTAAGTGTCGATGCTGCTCTGCATCGTATGTGGGTCAAACCACACGTCATTTACACACCAGAATATCAGAACACTTGGGAATCTCTCCCTTAACAGGGAAGCCTTCCTTATGTCCACCACCATCTGAAGTTCTTTCTCATATAAGAAATACATCTCACCTTGCCGATTTTAATGATTTCTCAATTCTCTCTTCCTCCTCCGACAATTATGACCTTATGATTCATGAAAGCCTTCTTATATCCAAACTTATTCCCCCTCTTAACACCCAAGGCAACTCAATCCCCCTTAACCTTCTTTAATATACCGTCATTCTCACTTATTCCATCATCTAAACTTCCTACTCCTCTCACATGTAATTTAACACCCCATACTATATGCTTATATTTAAAACCTCGTGTATATATATTAATTCAATTAATCTGAAGATGTCTTATGTTAAAGACGAAACGTAATTATTAAATCCTTCTCTATTTGATTATTGTGATGGCTTTCTTAAAAGTATTATGTTGGGCTATTATGTTCATATTGAAAATTCGCTTTCCGCCTGGCAAATCTCTGGCCACGATTACAAATTTCCTTATAATAAAAATAAAAAATCAATATGTTATTTACCGTTTAGGTCGGTCCTTACGGAAAAAATATTTTCACGATGTCTCAAAAGCTCCGGTAAATAATTTACATTTATTTTGATTTAGCGGTCCAAAGCGATATTTTTCTTGATTTCCAGCAATTTGATTGGCTGCGTGAGTAGGTAGCTTTTTCCGCATATTTGCCCGTGGGCACAAGTGATATTTTTTTGAAATGCTTTTGCTTGCAAAGTGAAATGTAAATTTTTAAAATTAAATTAAAAGCGATATAAATTGTCGAACGAGTAGGCACAATTTATTAAGATGAAATTTATCATAGACAGAGTGAATTTTAATATCCAGATGAAGCAAAGTTTGTAGAAAACAATCCAATTTTAGTCTCATTATATTTTTTTGCAATGTATATGTTTACGAAGTGAAATGCAAATTTCATAAAATTGATTTGAAAGCGATGTAGATTGTTTAACGAGTTAGCAAGTTGTATTCAGATGAAAGTTGTCGTTGCAAGATTGCATTTTGCTGTCCAGACAAAGCGAAGTTTGCTGAAAAGCATCCAATTTTGTCTCAACATTAAGTTGCAGACCTTGTGAAAATATTTTTTTCGTATACGGACCTCACAGCCTGTAAATACGTATTATACAGAGGCGGATCCAAGGGGTATCCAGTGTGGAACTGGACACGATCAGAATTCGACAAAAAAATGTTGAAATTTAGACATAAAACATAAATTTTCTTAGTTCATTTAGTTTATTGAGTCTATTTTTTAACCAAAAACACTAAAAAAACACATGAAATGCACTTGTTAACGTACTCGAAATTTGCATTTAAGCGACAGATTTTATAAATCATCGTATTATTCCGCCGTTAAGATTTGCCTAATGTAATCCGATTATCATACAAAACGTAACTCGATTGCTGTTCGGAGTCGAGTTTTGCTTTCACGATTAAAAAGGCGACCGCAAATCTTACCATTGGACATGGTCAGTGAGCGCTTTCTTGCCAATTTCGGCAATTTTGGCCACAGTGACGTTATTCTAAAGGGTGGCTAACCAATTAAAGCTCACAATTTTGATCACCTGATTGTGGCAGATCACAGTTGGTCACGGCTGAACAATATTTATTGCGCAATTTCATAGTAATTCGACTGAATTGAAAATTACTTAATCCTAATATCCACTTACGCGTGCCGTGCGTGTTGTCAGTTTATATTTGGACAATATTCTCGACAATTCCGGTTAAAAACATGGATTCCATTGCTTTATCGAAAGTCATCGACCTTTTTTAGCATTATAACTCGAAGGATATCACTTCACTAGTGAAATAATATTGCTTCGAGAACAATGCGAAAAAGCTATTTGTGAGGTACGAAATCGTGTAGGGGATTGTAAAGAGATAACAGTGCAGCTGTGCGAATTTTGAAAACTACAGTTTCCTAAGAGTCAGAGAGAACGATCAAAATAAAAGGCTCCTTTTCTTAATTATTTCATGTTAAAATATTTATGAGTCTTCTATTGTTTTAGGCTAGGATACATGATGATAGTATATTAATAATTCTAGGTAACTATATTATACATTTCTTGGTATGGGAAAACATTGAATAATGCACGATGAATTGATTAATTGTGTGTTTTACAGTGTTTACAAACTATGATATACCTAAGAAACCTAACCATTACCTTTTCAAAGGAAATCGTCTACCAATAAAGTAACATTACTTATGATAATAGATGTTATGAAGTATGTGTTAGTTATAGGTGTTTGTGTTATTTTATACATAAGGTCTCACTATGTTTACATGTGACATCAAAGTGCTATGATTTACTATCTATATAGATTTGGCACTCGACTGTGCAGGAAATCTACCAACTATTTTACACTATTTGTATTTTTATACAAACATTATAATCCAGCTCCGCTGAAAACACCTTATTCATGACCTTTTCTCTGATTTATCAAAATATGTGCTTATAATATGCACCGAGTACTCTCATCATTTTAATGTAGCTTAAAAGTAAATGTAAGTTTCGTATTTATCACTTTCTTTCTTTGAATAATGCAAATACTTCTTTATGTTTAAAACACTGGCTGATGGGAACTGTGTGTAGAATACATGCTCCAATTCCATGGTAGGTGATGAAAGTTTATCACTCTATGTTGCCTTACTAGCATTGAATTCTTTCAGAATGCAGAATATTATGCTCACCATCATTAATTCATAGAAAACATAAGGATGGGGCATTTACATGTTTTCAAAATGCATTTGCTTTATGTTTGTTTGATACTTCCCTTTCAGTATGAGAAAAGCACAGCCATAGTGCAGCAGCTGTGGGAGAAGCTGAGTATAATGCACACAGTTTTATGTATTCATGAATGATGTGTATGTTCTCATTGGCATTGTTACATCCTGCATTATTAAATCATACTACCCAATTGCAAATGATTCTTTACCAGATTGGTATTCTCTTTGAACATTGCTTGTATTATCATGTTCCATGCATACTACCTCTTGCACACAAGAAGAAAGTTGATGCATTAATTTTTTGTAGTGTATTGTATTGTTCTTTTACTTTTCATTGCAAAACATGACGTGCTTCATCTTTCTATTGCTACCAAGGAACAATACTATGATTATGACAATGGATGAAACTGTTTTGATATGATTATGGTAAGACTTGGCAAACACAAGTAGTATTTACGGACAAAATTTAAAACTGGCCAAAATTTGCGAATTTTTTTCCCGTTCAGATCATGGATAGGGTTTTCTTATATTCCTTCATATATACTGAAAGCAGGAAATCGCTTTTCTGAGAGTTAATTTTTATAAAATTTTATAGGGTATGAGGAAAGATCCAAGTGATGGGAAATCATGTCAAAGAAATACACTAAAAACCTAATTCTAATTGAAGATGCTTTTTGTAAAATGTGTCGTGGAAAATTTGAAAGTTTATTTAGAAAATGCTGTGTGTTTGACATTTTTATCCATTGTTGAAATGTATCTGTAATACAAAACTACGTGTAAACAAGTTGTAATCAACAATATTATCATATAAAGTAAATGTACATATTATCATAATCTATAAAAAAAAAGTAAAATGACGAAGTTTTATTTCTGCTAAGAACAAAATATTATTGACAAATCAAATGATTTACTGAATTACATTATCTTTGACAATAAACAAATCAAGCCGTAAGATTTTCTTTTGAAGTTACATAAAGTTATTGTGTGGATTCCGCAATACATTGCTGCTGATTGCTACCTACCATGCCGCTTGTATTGCCCACCAACCAGAGATGACCGCGATTGCATTAAAATAAAATTAATAAAATCTGTTTATGATGTGTTTCCAAAGGAGAGGCAAACCTCGACATACTTTGTAATTAAAAGAAATCTTGAAAAACTCAATCTATTGTAAATCTTGACATTCAGTTTTTCCGTTGGGACTTGTCAATCCTGTGGATTAATTTGCCAATAAATTGATGCATTGTAGGAATCATAAATGTCTGCAATATGATATCAAAATAAAAATGAAGAATCATTTTGTCTCACTCAAAATGGATGACGATTTTAGAAAATGAAGTCAGATATTGCAGTCATGAGTTATTATGTTTCTAATCATTTATGATTTATGAAACATCAAGCACAGCATAAAGTACCATTTCTTCAATTGCAATGTTTATGATTGTACAATGAATGCAAATTACAAATTATTAGTGAAAACATTTCATTTTTTTTAACTTTCTCTTAGTACAGACTACAGCTAAAATGAAGTGTTAATCTTTCTCATGACATATATCAGTGAAGAATCATAACCAGATCAGTACGGTATCTCTCAAAAAGTTTTGGTAATTCAGAAAATATACTGTTATGTAACGTTAAAGTATTCTTTGCTTGACATTATTTCATATTATAAAATAAACACAATGAAGCACGTGCGCTGATTGGCCTAGACTTTTTACATTAGCCTGTGAAAAACGATCTAAGCTCAACCAATCAAATCAATCAATCAATCAAAGAAAATTTGCAAATCCATGATGAGTACACGTTAAAAGAATATTATAATGTTTTTCGTGTTGGCACTGGTTTATGCAAGTGTGTCTGGGGTAAAAACTCCTGAGCAGGTGCAACCCTCGACCTTTGGTCTCAGTTCTGGTAAACCTTAAAAACATAACGACATAGCGCATGATTGCAGATGGTGTTATAACATTTAGCTAAAATACATGGAATGCTACTTGTAATACATAACCCTAATATATTTTTGAAGACCAGAAACGCGAGATTTTACCCCAGAGACGCTTGTGAAGTCAATCAATTATTACTCCGCGCGAGAGTCTCGAAACAGTAAGAACGCGTGTCTGGGGTAAAATCTCGCGTGGCAGGTGTAAGATTTGGGCTTTTGGCTTCAATTATTAGCTTCAGGTAGCGCTCAATGTATTTAGTTCAATGTTTTATAACGACTACGCTTGGTAACCTGGCAAACATGTCGCTGAGTAGTAATGACCTAGCGTGAACGACAGTGTGTTACACACATAGCTACATAACTTCCTGGAAGTGTTATCTTGCCTATACTGAATTATATGATATAGGCCTGAACACAGGCTAAAAAATAGTCAAATAAAACAAAGTTCAAGGTTTGTTTCGCCATAATGTTTTTGATGAACGTACTAAAACTACATTAATCTACAAGATAAGTTGCATCGATTTGTGATTACTCTTTTTCTATCTTTTTTCATTCTCTCTTACATCAAGGAAGAGAACTTAAAATTATGTTTGCCTCTTTTTGTTAGGTTTTCTTCATGATAAAAAATTTGTAAAAGTTCAAAATGGGATCTTATAAATTTTCACGAAAAACAATAAATAAATGTTTTTGTAATCAAGTATCCTCTACCTCATTTTTCAAAATATTATGCCCTAATATTTAAGTTATTTGGAATAATAGCACTAAAATATCAAATTTTCAACCCTGTTTCAACGTAACGCGAAGGATATGCAATAGAGAGAACTTTTATTGTGTGTAATTTACTTTGAAAAACATCACAGAATTTTTTTTTTTTGTTTTTGTGGAATGTTTCATGAAATCAAATCATTTTGATCTTTTTGCAACAAGTCACTGAGACAGGTATTATTTGAAAATCTTGACGATTTCGATATGTCTTAACATTAAGAAAAGATTTCTTTAAGGTTAATGCCTTTCAAAACCTCTGTTGAATACAGATCGTCAGGATTAAATAGGAAAAGAATCGAGGAGATTTTGTAGGATATGAGTTCAAATTTCTTTTAAGTAATAGTCTAATCAATCAGGAGACATTGTTCATTGAGAGTTATTCGCCTTACCAAAATGGGACGGAAGAGAGAGAGTGGTTAAATTTATTCAACATGGCCAGATGGTGACCAGTAGGATCAAAATTACCATAGTTCTTGTAAAGTTATGGATTAATGGCATCTGCATATCTTGCAAACAGATGTAGCAATAATAGATTTAAAATAATTGCAGGTGAGGATCTAACGAGATTAAAGTTTAATCTTTGTAAAATGCATGATTCGGTTCAGTGTGTTTTTGCTTATACGTACAGAAACCCAGAAAGCGCTAGCCAAGAGGTAAAATAGGATTTTTTGTGGGATGTGATAAGAGGAGCCCAGCTTACCTAGAATATCACTAAAAAAAAACGAAAATAGAGCGAGTAAGGTAAAATTTTTGATGGAGTCAATAAATTTGTGATTGACAAAAGTAAAACGGATAATGAAATATGCCCATCACTTTGTACTATAAACCTGCTGCAATTCAGAGGAAGAAACTAAAAAACTGAAGGGAAAACTTTACGATCAAGTTGAGAATACAGGAAGGTACCCATCTCAAGTGAAAAATAAGCCAGCCAGCATAGAATAACTGCTGACACCAGTTAGCGTGCAGTTGATTAATGTTATATATCAAATAACGTAACAAATTCTTATTTAGAGGCGGATCAACCGAGTTAGTCTTGTTGATTACCATGAGTTATCAATTTCTACAAAGAAAAATCAATTTTTACAAAGACTTGTCAACTTTCCTAAAAAGAAGTCGTGATTTCGTAGAAATTGCTTAAGAAAGTGAGGGACACGAGCATTAAAGGTTCCGACACGAGTGGACGTTCTGTCGAAATATTTATACTGTGGTCAGCATATTCAGTTGACAGGGATGTTTATTTTGAGCAAGTTAAGGGTTATTTAAATTATAGGACTAAGAACGGAGAAAAGTTCGTTTATAAATTAAATACAGTGTAAGCCCCTGTATGGTATAAACAAAGCAGAAGAAAATAGAATGAAACATTAAATAATTACTTGACCGGGAAAGGTTTAGGCAATCACTCGCAGACCCTTACGTATACTTTATGTTTGTAGATGGAGCCTTGTTGAAATATTTAAATGGTTTTACTTTCTATTTGTGAAACGGAGTGTAAATTGAATAAACACTTATGTTGCAATTTAGGCATAGTGGAAGGAAACAGAAGCGCAAAAATCCAGGGACCGAAAAAATTAGCAATTTAAAGGACGCAACTTTTCACAAAAAGATCTAAACACACATAGAGATCAAATACCATTTCAATAGAAGTGAAATACAGCGTGGCTTAATAAGCTTAATGTATTCTGCAAGCAAAGACAACTTACCAAATATTTCACAAAAAGATAACGAGTAAACATTTAGATTGGGTAGTGATAGAAATGGTTTTCCAATATCAGAAGAAGAATCTCTGATATCCTCAAATATAGGAAAAAGCAAATGGTTTTACTTTCTGCAAGTAAAACAGATTGTACAACTTTAGCTTGGGTGCAGTGATTTAAGCATAGTAGAAAAGAGCAGTGGCGCAAAAATCAAAGCACACAACCAGGGAGCAATAATATCAGCAAAGAACCCAGCTTTTCAAAAAAAAAACCAACGTCTAAACACATAGAAATTAAAAACCATTTCAATAGAAGCAAAGTGCAGGTAGCGGGGAACAATGAACTTAATTAATTGCCAACGAAAATAGCTTAGTAAATATATTTACAATAACCACAATTAAAGTTAAATTATATCATTTTCAACATTTTCTATATAACCAAAATGACACTGCCATATGTATAAGTGTAATGTAAAGTGTTTGCCAAGCCGCGTCTTTATAATGAAATAAGGAAAGTGTAGTATATTGTGTAATAATGTCACCCTATCATTGTGAACTTAATCTCATGATAGATTATTATCAACCAACCATGTAGCGTCTATTATGTAAATTACGTTTATCAGCATGTGCTTACTTGTAGTTTTTGTAGTTTCTTTCAATGTAGAAGTTTTCATTGAATGTTATAAATATACTTATCGGAAGCAAAGCGAGTTTATCCTCAAACAACAACTGCTACAAAATAAATCCACTAGCAAAGTGTGAAAGCATGGATATTTACCATAGATTTTAATAAAGGTATGTAAAACAGAGCTACAAAAGCTTTGCAAGAGTTCAGCAATATATATATGAAGTATATAAGTGAGCAAAAGTTCCATATTCGTGATTGCCCAGATTTTGTAAGCTCTGTTTTTTCAACTTAGGTGCCATTTTTGAGATGTTGCCATTTAAACATACAATAAATTATTATTACTCTTTTAAAAGTCCTTAGTATTCTACAAAACTTCACGAAGTAGCTACCAGGTAGCTACAAATCTTTCTTTGCTAATCATCCCTCCATTACGAATCATAACATATTGTTTATCGCAATAACATTGGACAACAATCGTCGCGGTTCAAGATTCAATATATTGACGTATGTGTAGTTAAGGTGATTATTATTTTTAAGTAGAAACTGATGATTTAAGACAGGAAATATACAGAAAATACTGTTATAGTGCCAGCTATTTGTTATTTTGAAACGACAATTGAAAGTGCACACATACTTTATGTACAAATCGTGCTTAATGAGTGAGGTATAGACAGCTTAAGTGTTAAGTGTTAATTGCCGTATTTATGGACGTGCGAAAGTCGATAACAACTGATAAAATCTACTTTTGTCTCTTATCTAGAGAGGATTATCTTTATAGTTTAAGTATCAGCAATTAAAACCATACATTTTCAAGTCTGATCACACAATCTAGTTTTTGTTGGAGCTAACTAGCAGGCTAAACAATTTACTTTTGATGCATGGAATGCAGCCAGCTAATTGACAACAGCCAAGTTTCACATAGCATGAAAGTAGAATCAGCCTTTGTCCATAGATAAGATGCCAACAGATTATAAACTACAAAACTTTGAACAAATGTCATTTTCACGAAGAATTTGATAGAATAAAAAGATCCTTGCGTCTATAGAAAAATTTGCAAAATAAATTAAAGTGCTCATACATTTATACATATTTGAAAGCTACTATGATCAACTAGCTACATTAGAAAACTTCAATAGTGTACTTTGTTGAATTGTAACACAGTATTTGTGAGTGAAATCCAATCATGACTTAATTCATAATATCATGTCTGTCAATAAATTGGTGAATAACATGGTATAAGAAATTATCCAAATCTAAAAATTTACATTGTCTGCATGTGAGCATTAATTTGCAGGTAGCACAATGTTATCCAGGGGCAGCGCAAGGGAGATTAAAGGCAACCATTGTGTTTCTACTGCCATGTTAAAATAGTTTGTAATGTTAAAAATGTTAACATTAGCTAAAAGAAAAGTCGCCAAGAAACACAAAAAAGCGAAATGTATTTCAGCAATACAAATTGAAAACATAAACAAGACATCTGTTTATCATGTGCCTGCATAGAATGAACGAGCAATGAGAATGAATTCGTGTGCTTAAACAAACATTTGCATAATTCAGAATAGATGAATTGGATTAAAGTTAGCTACGCAAAACTTGCAATTTTATATCCAAAATGATAATATAAAATATTTAAAATTAACGAAGATACATGATGTAACTCAGATTTTTCGGGTAGTTCTCTTTTTATTCTTATTGGGCAAAGATGACATGTAACACAGAGCACAATCCATTTTACAATGCTTTTTTCAGGTATGAATTAATGCATTGTAATCATGTATGAGCCATGAATGAGTCCTTTAGCTGTTTCAACCAGCATATATAGGTTGTGATAATCTTCAATTTCTCACTGATATTTCCTATTTTATCAAGAATATCTTTTGTTATTTTTTTTTTGTTTTCTTTCCAATGTAGGGATGACAATGATAATGCAAGAAAGTAGAAAAGCACATTTGTTCTTCCAGCACGATATGCTCTTTCTCAGAATACATTCATGAAAAAGACGTTGAGGTAGAAATTCATTCAAACTTCTTATCACCGCACGTGCCATTTTCCTATAGGCAAGTTTGATGCAAATACGTTTTAGAGACGCTTAGCTAATACTATGAAGAGCTGCCCTCTAATTTTTATGTGCTCTATCACATGACCAAGAAAGAGTTGTATGCAGATCAACTGTGTCTATCCACCCTTTCTTGGTAGATGCTTTTGGTAGTTATGTAAGTTTCTTTATGTCATAAACTATTTTATTTTCACTTATTAGTCTCCATCAATGCAGCCATGTCATAAAAAAAGTAAACTTTCATCTGGGCAATCTTGCCTCAATTGCTAAGAAACCTGAAATACATACTAAACAGGTTGAAATACGTATCATAAAGTTAAAATAGATGACGAGCAACATTAGCTAAGTTTACTTTTCTATAATCATGCCAGCTTATCCATATGTTGTAGCTACATTTGCATGGTGTTTTCTTTAATTTGCTTACCCTTGCTAAGTTATATATCATAGATCAAAACTTCTTTAAACCTATATTATATAAAAATCTTTTGAAGAAACTTGACTATATCCACCATTGCAAGCGCTATCTCCAGGTTCTTACGAGGCAAAAAATACTAGAGGAAATTACCGATCCAAAACGTCTGTGCGTTCTCTCCTCAAACGAATTGTAAATTCATAGCTTCCAACTGATGAGAATGATCATTCATCAAATGAACACATGACATGGATGAAAGAGAAAATAAAGAAAGGAAGAAGAGTCATGCTTTGATGTCAAAGAAAATGGAACTAGCCAGGTGCATTCTATTTTAAGTTTAGCACTTTGGCTGTTTAGTTACGCAGGTTGTACCAAAAAAACAGAATCCACATAAATTATGTATTTGCTAAATAATTGTACACAATAATGTAATTAGCATTCACAACAGCTTGACATTTCTGCAGGATTTCATAAGGTTTGTTTAGTATTAATTAAAGCAAAACAAGTTAAAAGTATTCTCATACACTGATTTTAATCTCAAATTTACTACTCAAAAACATTGTAAAACAATAGCAACATACATGAGTAAAAACAGTCTTAAAACTAATTCATGGTTTTCATAAGTTCCAACGAGGAGAAACAAGCGTGTACCTAAATCAACCAGGCGGAGCAACTAGCTATTAATTATGCATCTTTCCATTCCACAATTCCTTTCAGCTTAAGGAGTTTTTATTCGCTGACAAGAACTCCAGACAACACCATTGATGCCTGTATTGTTTTATTTCATTGCTGCATTCATAAAGCAGACTAAATTGTTTTATGCCCACTTCCTTTGAATGCATACACAATTATTTGTGCTAATTCCCTTTCGTGGGTCACCCTGTAAGAAGTTTTTAAATTTTTGCGATGTCTATAGCATATGTATAACGGATTTCTCTATTTTATTAAATTGTAGTTGAAGAGAGAACACAATGGCCAATATGCTGAAGAATTTGCAGCTGAAAGCAGATGAAAGAAGAACTTATCTCCAACAACAAAACAGACAATTGTTGCTAGAAATGGAATCAAGGCTTCAAAGTCGTTCAAACTGACGAGAGACGCTGAAAACGTTGATGATGCTGAGGAAGAAGTTTTTCCAACTGATGGTAGGTAAATATTGTTTTTGTGACTGGCAGCTATTGCAAGATTTTATCGAAAAGACTTTTTTATCTTATACGTAGCAGATTAAAAGTTTAGCAAAAAAAGTTAAGGCTAATAACAACATAAATTTATTGTTTCTTTTTTGAATGATTTTTCTACTTTTTACAGAAGATTTGCATGTTGCCATATGCTTGAGGCCATACCTTGTTGAAAGATCTAATAAAAAGACTTAACTCTGCTGTATCAGGTACGAGAAGAAATTTTTGAGAGTGTATTAGGCAAAGTCTACGACATTAATGAGAGTGTATTATATTGGACTAAGAATTTATAACTAAAAATTTTTTTTAAACATATAGAAACAAATACAATGCAAGAAATGTTATCCCTGAAAGGAATAAACCCAAAACACCATTTCCTATCTTTGGCATATCGATGGAGGAATTAAGCAAAACAATTTTCATTGCAGGTGAAATCAACATTTTTTTGAAAGTTTCAGAAATTATCAAGCAGTACAAGCTCAAGCCTTTTTTACAGTTGTAACATAGAAATTCCTAAAGACATTTTCTTCAAAGAAACACGCTGAAGTGCTTTACTATATGAAAGTCTCCTAAAAAAGTTTTGTCCCTGATAAATGAACTTAATCACTTGAACTGAAATTAAACATTTTAAACAAGAACTTTGCTGTTTTCAACTGCATTTTATAGCATGCAGTTTTGGCTTTCCCCTTAAGAACAACTTTAGAGTTGCAGTTTCAGTGTCTCGTTAAATATACAACGTGTAAGAGTGACTTTACACCTGCTTCGTGCAAGTTTTACAATGTCATAGTGTGACAGTGCTATCTTTTGTTGTACATTGAGTCACACAACAGAGAAATATTAAAACAGTTGCTGGTTAATTAATCTCGCCTAATCGTGTTAACTTATAGTTTAATGTTGGATTCAGAAAGGGGAAAAAATTTGCCCTAACGTTACAGTTGATCGAACCTTACAAAATTTAGTTCTGGAACAAACAACCAAAATGGAAAAGGGAATGTAAAATACTTGCTTAGCACAATATCAGGGCTCATCATGCTGCAGGATACATAGGAAACACAAATATATGTAGAATCTAAACACATCTAGAATAACTATGAACCTAACACAGACAGCTTTACACAAAAATGTGCAAAAGCAGATTTTGAAGGAGCCAGTAACTACATTACACTTGAAAGAAATTGAATTAAAAGTGGGTGAATTTTTAGGACATTCCATGGGCTTAAGAAACAACAATCACGCACTGAAAAAATTTCAGCTCAGCATTAAAATATTCATCTCAAAGTAAATATTTAAGAGTTTCATTGGGTTATTCATACGAAAAACAGGTCTATATTTCATAGTTACACATTATCATTTTAAAGTGATACAAACTTTCCCTTGATTGTCCACTATCTAACAAGGAACACCCTTTTGCCGCTTAGAAAAGTTTAAGGATTCACTAAGTCGAGAAATGTGAAACTTTTAACATCCTGAAACCATATGACCCAGTGTCAATTACTTCAAAGTGAGGCTGCTTAGAACAATTTTTCTCACATCTTTCAATGCAACAGCCTCCTGCAAAACAGCAACTCTCACAAGAGACTATAATAGGAAATTCAAAAAATCTCCAAGTTGTTTGCACAATGTGAAACTCACTTTATCTATGCCTGTTAAGAGATAGAAAAATATCGTAGAAAAAAAGCCTATCCAACCCAACCCAAAATCGAAAAGTCTCTGGAAGATAATTCTTCAACCAAATCAACCGGAACTGCCTGACCTTAATTCTAGCCCTAACCAAAAAATTAAGATATTTTGGAATTGGTTTATGATTTAACATGACTTTGACTCGTAGATTTCATTTTAGATTATTTATAGTGTTAAAACATTTTGACAATGTACAAAGTCGTTTTGAAAATTGCTATTTTGTCACGTTCTATCGAATTAACTTTTCTGGCCTCACTTAGTACTTGAAAATAACTGAACTAGAAAAAAGGGGAAAAGAAGATCTTAACATGTAGCTATCGATTGTGCCTTGTGAAAATTTCGTCCTCTTCTAATACCTAATTCATAACGAAGAAAGAGATATATCTAGGCGAAGAAGTGGACAAGAATCTTCTTAACAAGAATCAACCAGCTAGCCTTTAGCTGAAAGCCTAGGCTTTTGTGAAATCGTTTGTTTTTGCTCGTGAAGTATATAGTTTGGGCACATTGCGTTTTGTCTGTTTAAGAAACAAGTTATGGCACTTTCTAAGACCACCATGTAGCATCAAAAGACAATTTGTAACGACAGGAAGAAACTGCATTTGAGGCTGAGGCTCAAGCTGCTACGCCCTTAAATGTGAGTACCATATGTAACAAAGAATGACATCATAACGCCCTTGATGTCAAATTTGTTAAATGGTTGTTACGATCCTATGAAAAAATCCTATATGACCCTAGGCAGGATATTACCAATGCTTATTCCATCCTAGTAAGAATCCGATGATCCTACAGGACCTTACAAAAGATTATTTGCTCTTCTCTTACCATAATATTCTATGGAGTATTACATTAACGAATTCTATAACATATTTTATGCAATATTCGATTGATGCTAATAGATCATGCAAGATCCTGTCACAATCTTGAAAGATCCTGTAAAATCGTCTACAGTTTTTTCTAGAAAGCAGGAATCAAAAAAAGCAGGCTACAAATTGAGAAAAACAGGTCATATTTGAGAGATGGCAGATGAAAAAATTAACCTTTCAAGTGACACATGCTTCCTTTACCACAACTATGTTTTTAATTATTTATTAGAAATTCAGATATATGATGAGCAATTTGGATCTTTTATACAAAAACCAATTTGTCAAAATAAATTGATATTTATAGTTAATATACAATTGTATATTGTCAGGTAATGTAGAATTTAAGGTCAAGAGTGCCTCTACAACTTTCTCAGTAAATATGCCACTCTTATATGTTTAACATTGTAATAAAATCCACAAGGCAGCATGCTATAAGACTTTGACAAAAAAAAAAAAGAGCAGGAAATACCTATGCTCCTAAAAAATATTCAAAATGTCATGGCATATTTTTTTTTATTTTGAGCTCTTAGGTGAGTGATGTATAATTCCCACTACTTGTATTTGTGAATGCACTCTGCCTTTGTGTTGACCACTTGAACTTTTCCATTTACACATCACCAAATACAAAATAAAAAATACAGCTTACCCTTGACATTGCCATAATAATGCAAAAAAACTCTTGTAACTAATTATAAAGGTACATACCTTGTTTGGTCAAATATCATACCTTCACATTTTCTTTTTAAAGAGAAATAATTAAAAATTCTTTACAATGGCAATTTTTCATCCACTATTCTTCTATAAGGATTAAAAAGATCAAGAAAAATACATAAGTATACTAAATACACTACAAAAAAACATATCAAAAAAATATGAGCAAAGATACAAAATTTCACTTAAATCTGTCAAAGACATTTGATTGGCCAATAATATTAGTATTGTCACACACAAAATTAAACAATACAATTTTTCCAGAATATTAACACCAGAGCTTTTTTGATAAGCTAAATTAGCTGTTGGATACATCTATTTCCTCCCAGAAATGGAAACAGGAATTTTCATATTTGTCAAAAAATTATTGCATGAAAATCATACATTGCATGATTTTTGATGTCATATTTGTAACAACAAAATGTTTTCATTAAAACTTGCCGATGTATCAAAACTAAGTTTTCATTGTTAACAAATGATGCAAATGGCAAAGGACAAACAGCTCTGTTCTGGGTAGGGATTATCAGCATGCTTAATTATCAAACAAAATAAAAATATGGTAAAACATTATCCAACATTCTACATGCACAGGCCATAAAATGAGAATTCATGTTGGTTGTTGTGTATGAGAATAACCATGATACATTTTTTTTTCAATAAAAATGCTCTGACTTCTTGAAAAATTGATTGAAAGTAAAAAGGATTAAATTGAACAAGGATTACCAAGAACAAGCTGTCATTGTTACTTGAGATCAATGACATGACTAATCTAAAAAATTATGAAAAAACAATATCAACTTTACAGTGATAGAACATATTGACATACTATTATATCTTTACAATTAACTAAGATTGACTTGCTTTCACTGATTCAGCGAGCTTAAATATTAACATGTAAGGATTTACCTTATAAAAATCAAAGAAAGACCCAGAAACAAAAAATGACATTTGTTGTCATGTGTTAATACTTTGTGATAAAAACTACAATAGCATACAATTAAAAATATAATTGTAATTAGTTTGCATAGCAACAAAATGGCCCTCAAATTCTCAAAAGCTGACACAAAGCATGGCAGCTCAATATAAAATTGGCAGAACCAAATTGAATAGACTGACCAATTGCCAATGCCACAAACTTATTGCGAAACATCAACAACAGAAAATTAAGAGATGACTTAAAGAAAAACAGTCAATATTGTCACAGTAAATACTAATAGTGGTACTGCACATGGTAACATAAGTTGAGAAGAACATTAACATTTTAGTCAATAAATCCTAACCTTGGTCTGTGTAATCAATAAATCCTAACCATCAATGCTCAAACTTAGAAACGATGAAAACAGCTTTCGAAAAGGGCAAATAATTGCATAAAGATTTGCTTTTCAATGTGCATTGCCTTGATGTTTGTGCGTGTTCCTTATAACGTACTAATTGAGTTATGATAATAATAAATAGCCATCATCAAAGAATCAGTTTTATCCAGAAATTCAACCATAAAGAATAAATTTATTGATGATTATATAGAATATTATGAAAGTTTACCTCAATGGTGGAAAGCAGTTTTTTTAGATCTATTCCAAAGTAATATTTGCTAAGTTCGTTTGATTGAATGTAACGATGGAGCCCAAATCCTATTGATGTTCGATCTTCTAGTGAAGTGAAAGTGACTGAAATCCGTATTGATTAGAAGCGATTTTTCAAAATACCATGGAAGTTGCGCTGATTTTATAACATTTTCAAAATTTGTAATGAATGAAAAAATTCAATACAAATTTTCTTTGGAAAAAAGCCAACAATCATCACACAAAACATAGGTACGCGCGTACATGTGGGTAGCCACAAAATAGACGGCAAACACATAATATATATTAAACATTGAACTTTGTTTTAAACATTGACGGCAAGTACGTAATTTATAAAATTTTCGACATTGCAAAAATGTGCTATGAGCTCAATCTTTAGTCCAATGACCAACCCAAACAGACCTTTTGAAATCAAAGGCGCAAGTGGTACATACCAAATATATTTGAGAGATGTAATACGTTCTAGGTTGTGATATGGTTGTAAGTAATAGAGTAGTGGGTTTATTGACTTCTTTCGTTTGCGCTTATAATGTATAATCCTCACTCAGGTCACAGTGCTTTGGTGAGCAAAGCGCAAAGAAGAAAGCAAATGACTGTATTTTCATACGAGTCTTAAATGTATTAAAGTAAACTTCTCGATGTGGATTTACATGAAGATAAAGTCATATAAAAATACATCAATACATTTCAAACACAGTGCGACGAATTGTTTACTTAAAAATATTTTGGTATGTGCTCCCCATATTTAGAAAAAGTTACGTAATTGGACATTTGAATGATGAGTGAGCTAAAAGCACATTTTTCAATTCTTCACCATTTTAAAAGTTTGATTTTGTCCATCTATTTTCCATACACTTTATGGCTTCCCCACACCCATTTGTTAGCTTGTTAAACGCTCTTGCATATAATACATGTCACATGAATTAGCTTACATCGTTAAGTTTAAGTTGCAATAAATAAATATGGTCAAATATGATTTCAAACGAATTTAGATATGTATTTATTGAAATTTTTACTAAAAACTATTTTTGATATAAATATTGAATTTCATCAGCTTTTTTTTCAAATAATTTTCTGACGTATATAAGTGATATGTTGTTCAGTCAACCGATAAATCAACGCACTTCATACGAATTGTATTTATTTACATTATAAGATTTGACACTTGAATAATGAATATATGTTCGGTAATTTTGCTATAATTGGTTGTGCTGTTTTGATGCTACTTTTCCCATACGATTTTGAAAATTTTTATACCGATTACAAATATTACCATTTGCATTCAACTGGTAACTGTCCCGAATTTTTCATGTTTGCTTACATTTCAAATGTCACGTTTGTCAGACAAAACGTAGGGTTTCAAATTAGAAACGTAATGTTTGCTCAGGAATGTGTAAAGTTTGCTCTGGAATGTTTAACGTTTGAGGAGCAACTTGAACACGTTTTGGTCATGTGACTAACATGCTTATACGATTTTCCAATGATAAATGCAGTAGCAACTGAAAATTACATCTGTATACCTTAAACGATTTGCATAGTTTGATAATTGAACGTATAATATAAAAAAGAGCTGTTACAAACTTAGAAATCCGCGATTTGAACAAACGTAACGTTTACCAGTTGAAACCATTGACTTCTATAAGACCTGGAGGGGAAACATCAACAAAATTACTATGAATTATTAGCGCGCGGCCGCGTGGTCAAAAACATGGCGGATTTCGGTGGTCAAAGTCAGCGGAGAGACGCGGGCTCATGATATAAAAATTTTGTCGCCCACCCTGATTTGACCACCACGATTGGGAGTATAGAAAATATCAAAACTATTTTCCTAGCATAAACACTTTTTTAAAATTATATTTATTAAACAATCTTCAAGCTTCCGTGGTTTGCGGATGCTGAAATAGCGACAGAAAAGGAAACATTTCATGACTCCTGTAAGTAGCACAGTAGTGGTTTTACTATTTTGTTTTTAACACGATACTTCAAGAGTGCTTCTGCTACTAAGTTTTAATTTAAAGTTATTTTGGTCAATTCTTGTTTGTTCTTCTTTTTATCGCTCGCCAGACGTGGCGAAGCTGCCAATTTTTATCGAGTTTTGCATCCATCTTGTATCATGATCAAGCTAAACTCTCTTGATTTGAATTGAGTTTACCTCCCAAAAATTGGGCAGAATTTGTTCATATTTATTTTTTAAAGATGATGGAAAAGTTTGCAACAGAGTTGTGTTGAAATTGAATGCAGTGCCATGCGAAATTAATGAGAACTATGGTACATGTCGTATAATAAAAATAACAATTAAACTACTTGCATGCTCAATTTGACTGACTGTATAGTGTAGACAATTATAATGGGTTTGGAAAGTTGGATCTATGCAAACAGTTTTAAAATACTACTTAGCGTTTCTGTAAGTGAGTATTTACTGTTATAGTAAACAGGTTACTCCTTCAAAACCAAGATAAAAGAAGTGTGTTGAACAATGTGCTAAGATTTGCTCTTAACTTTGAAATATTTGTTCAACAATAGCTTATGTTTGTATCATTAATATGCTTGAAAAATTAAACATATTGTTGTCTCATCTAACCAAGTCCATACTTTGTATGATTCCAGGTGATCCACAAATTCACGTCGGATGCATTGGTTACAATGA